CCCTAGAGTTGCAGGGAACACCGAGGGGCTGAAGACCCAACACGTGTCTAATCCCATCAATTCGCTTCCACTTCTAGGGTGTGGTTTCCCGCCAGCCCCACCCTCCTGCAGGGGGCGTTGGGTAACAGAAAAGCCAGCTCCCCAGCTCACCTGCTTATTGCCTGGTGAACTCTTGAGGCGTCCAGACCCCTTGCTGAGACAGGAGTCCTGGACCAAATGGAAGGGGTTGGAAGTGGCAGGAGGCCTGGCCAGGAGGACTCAGATGGCTCCCCCAAGAAAAACCTGTCCCGTGGAGAAAAAGGAGACAATTGTCATCCTTATGAGAGGGGGACACAGAAGGTCACAGGGATGGAAAAAGGCTCCCACAGCAAAAGAGGTAGGATCCTAACTTCCGGGTCCAAATGGGAACCTGCACCACCCACTCTCCCCCAGACTTCCAGAGAGAGTTCAGGGACCTCTCGCTCATTCCTCTCCTCTCCACCCACAGCCAACACCAGGCCCAGCCGGGGGCCCAGGAGCTCCAGGCCTCATGGGTGGGGAAGCCCTGATGGTCCCCTAAGCAGTTGCCACAAAGAAAACGGACCCCCAGAAGAGAAGGTGAGGGCAGGGCCATCCCCCACCCCAGGGAGCAGAAAGGATGAGTCTGACTCTTCCAGAGCAGGACATCAGGACAGACCAGGTAGGTTACGGGGCTGTGCCTTCCCAGAGGTTGGGGGTGGGCACCTTCCCTCAATGGCACCCGGCACCCAGGGGAGGGAGGGACACACACTGACCCGGAGAGATGCTCCCAGAGCCCCCACGGGCTGAGAGGTAGAGGCCCAGTTCCCATCAGACCCTGGAAGGACCCCCCCACCCCCGGTCAGGCTTAATGGGGGGTGAGGGGAGAGGGCGGAGGAGAGGGAGGACTGTGAAGGGGCCCCAGGGACCTTGGCCAGGCCGCTCACACGGGAGCACCTTCTGTTTCCCACGCAGATTTGGCCCACCCTCCTCCAAAATTCAAGGGCAGCAGGACTCGGCCCCGAAGCCCAGCCAGGACCCCTGGGCAAGCATGCTGTCCGGAAG